AAGCAGGCTGCCTTTGGAAGTGGGAGCCATGGGGGGTGGGGTGCACAAGCCATGGGTTCCTGAAGCTAGCTGTGGCTACAGAACTGGTGAGTGTGTGTGTGTGTGTGTGTGTGTGTGTGTGTGTGTGTGTGTGTGTGCGCGCGCGCGCGCGTGCGTGTGTGTCCCCTGACTCAGGTCATCAGGATTACGGGCAAGCACCTTTGTGTTATGGCGAATCAGGAGTGGGGCGGACTCGGAGCAAGTGGGTCACTGCGCATGCGCTCTCTGAGGCTTGTCTCCTGGTCCTCTTGGCCTCTCTCCTAGTCGTTGACAAGACGAGCAGCCTTCTTCTCCATCACACCCTCTCTTCAGGATGTTTCTGTGTGGCCAAACATCAGGGAAGACTGGAGCTAGTCGACTGTGGACTCAACTTTCTGAAATCGTAAGGTAAAATGATGTTTTCCTCCCAGTTTTTCTCTCAGGCACTTCCCAACGTTGCTGAAACTATGATTAACACATGGAAGTCCTATAAACACTCCGCACTCACCCATCTGTTCGTGTGCCCATTGGACAAACATTTGGCTTCCCAGGGTTGGGCCCCGGGCAAGGGAAGGGACTCTGTGGTCCCTAAATGAACCACCCAAGGAAACCAAAGACAGGGAAGAGCCAACACCCGGTGCCAGCTGAACCTTGGTTTCCCCTGCCTCCTGGATGTTGGGAGACAATTTTCCGTGACTCAGTCACATTTCTGCAAACCTCAAGAGCAAATGCATTGACAGCCTTTTGTTCTGGACTCTTCTAGAATGTTTACTCAGTGAGATCATTGGAAGACAAGGTAGTGTCTCCCTTTGGGGTAGGAGGTGGATATATTTGCTGTCAAATATCATAAAGACAGCATTTAGCTCTGAGGAAAAAGGTTGAACAGGTTTGTTTTATGGCTGCAGATAAGGTGTTGGCGTTTCCTAACCTGGGGCTCGGCAGTTGGGATGCAAACCTACTTTGGATCACAGAGTGACCTGGGCCTGCCACTGTATCGTCTCAGGGGAAAGTAGGGGGAAAGTCAATGGAATCATGAACTTGATGCTGCCAGCTGGGACAAAGTCCTTTGTCTCTAAGCCAGGCTCCTAGCAGATCTAGGAGACAGCTGCAAGAGGGCAAGCCTGGACAACTGGGCACCTCTGGGGATCTCTGAAAAGACCAGGGTGGAACAGGGGAGGAAGCTGAGGGCTGACTGGAGACCAGGCTGGCCCCACAGTGCCACAACTACTCTTTATTGGCTAAGTTTCAGCCAAGCCCTAAGGTCCTTTGAAGACCAGCCAAGGAGAGTACTGACCATCAGAGGTCACGGCAAACTTCCTCCTCCATGCAGAGAGAAGGAAGACCTAGGGGAACTCCTGGGGCATCATGAGTGAGGGGGGACCTGACCCAAGCTTCCTGAGGTGGGTGGGAAGTGGCAAGCAGGCCAGCGAGGAAAGGCTTGAAGTCCAGGGGACTCTGCAAAAAGTCCCCTCTCCCTTGATGGTGACATTCACATGGCACAGTCTATCTTTCTCCTTCTACGAACTTCAAGGACTCGGTCTAGTGATAAAGCAGAGACCCACCAAGCGTGGATACCCTCCATGAGGAGCCCCCTCTCCACATCCCAGCAAAACACATGCTTCCGGAAGGCAGCCACCATGCTGTGCACAGCCCCTGGGCTCAGCTCCATGAGACCCCTGTTTTTTCAGTAGGACCTGGGGTTCAGCCAGGTATGTGGGGGCTTTCACCCACGTTCTGGGGAACTAGGTGAGCCAGCCTCTGTGTTCCTCACATTCCTCACTAGGTCACACAGGCCAGAGCATCATACTGTATACGCTGTACCAAGGGGACTCTGGACTCACTGCCTCGATTGTTCTTGTTAATACTTCTGTGCCTGCCCTGGCTGGGTCCACAGCTGTCAGACTGCTAATCCACCCGAGACAGGATTGTGTTGAACTCGGTCCCTTCCGTGGTTCAAGGTCCCGAGGAAGACGCATCACTGTTGTTCTTAAAAGCACACACTTGTAGATATGTATAAAGCCCGAGAGGCTTTTTATCTTGCTTCTCATTCTGATTAACCAGGAGTTGAGTATTAATATTGGAGGCAGAGTAAGTGGCTTTCACTTTGATGCCAAGAGGCCTGAGGTGAACTGTTTTTTCCACAGCTGCTGTTCTCAGAGAGCCAATATGCGGCTTCTTTGGAGAGTCGCCTTCAGACCCTGTAGCTGCCAGCTGGGAGGCGGGAGGGCCTAGTTAATTGAGGGCAATTGGCTTCATTGCCTCAAGGTAACCTAGGGCTTGAAGTTAAGGAGGTTCAGACATGCAGGGTCACCCCAGGCAACAGCAGCATCTTCTAAAGCCTTTTTTATGTTTTGGTTTTAGTTTGTAGTTTTCTCAGGCTGGTTTAGGACTCACAATCCTCCTGCCTCCGCCTTTGGAATGCTAGAGTTATAGGCATCCCACTACACCTGACTCTCTTAAAGCATTTTAAAAGTCAGTTTCACAGGTGTCTTGTGACCTGTTGCATGTTTTATATACATATAATAGTAGAGTATATATCTAGACTATATAGACTCTAAAGCCACAGTTATCCAGCCGCTGACACTGTATCAAGTTCTACATTTGTTACTATACAACAGGCCCTGTAGCATGTTGGAGGCTAGATCTGCTGTACAGTCAGGTTGTATCTTGGGCTTGAGGCTTGCTTGAATTGCTCTGTGAAATGGTCTAGTGTCAGAAGTTTTTAAAAGCCTCAAATAAGGGGCTGGAGAGATGGCTCAGCAGTGAAGAGCACCGGCTGCCCTTGCAGAGGACCTGGGTTCGATTCCCAGCATCCATGTAGCATCTTACAACCATTTGTAACTCCGGTTCCAGGGGAATCAATGTCCTTCTCTGCCTCCTTGGGCACCAGGCGTGTGCATGTACATACATGCAGGCAAAGCACTCATGTCTATAAAATAAAAAATTGTAAACTTTTTAAGTTTTAAAAATTCTTTCTCTCTTTCTCTTAACAACAACAACAATCTTTTTTTTTTTTTATTATTTAGAAAGGGTCTCATCATGGAACTCTCATTGGTTTGGAACTCACTTCTATGGACCAGGGTGGCTTAGACCTCACAGAGATCCTCCTGCCTCTGCCGCCTGAGTACTGGGATTGCAGGCGTGTGCCACAATGCCTGGTCTCAATAAATAAATAAGTGAATAAATAAATGAATAAATACATAAATAAAGACTCCCTGCTCCTCTGCATTCCAGAGACAGCCACATCTTCCAGCACGGTGCCAGTCTCGTCCCCAGACAGGGTAGTGAAGGTGAGAGAGTGAACGGATTTGGCCATTTTGGACCAAGGCTGTCTTCAACTCTGACAAAATGGATATTGTTGCCATCAGCGACCTATTCATTGACCGCAGCCACATGGTCTACACACCCTAGTATGACTCTACCCATAGCATGTCCCACGGCACAGCCAAGGCTGAGAAAGGGACATTTGTTACCAAAGGGATGGCCATCTCCATCTTTCAGAAGGGGGATTCTGTCAACATCAGATAGGGTAATGCTGGTGCTAAGTAACGCTGTGGAATCTACTGGTGTCTTCTCCGGCATGGAGAAGGCCTGGGCCCACTTGAAGAACGGGGCCAAAATGTCATCACCTCTGCCCCTTCTGTTGATGCCCCCCATGTGCCTCGGGATGCAGAAATATGAAGTAGGAATTCAGCTGACTGTGACAAAGCTATACCTGGAGGAAGCCAAGGGCCTTTCCAGAGGGTAAAGCCAAGGCTTAAGGAGTCTTGGTGATACTGGCTTTTGAATACTAGCCGTTTCCTGCAATGAATTTCTCCTGTGCTATTGTAGCTTTCCATTCCTAGAACAGTGTGTTTGATCATTCATTGGGCACACTTTCCCCTATACAAGTAAAGTATTTGGATAGCTTCCTCCAACTGTGCTAACAACAGAGACAGTTAAGACCCCTAATTTCAGGCCTTTCTGTAATTATTGTCATTAGCAACATCTGGCCAGGACCTTCTCCAGATGAAAGTATCTTATCTGAGATACTTCCCGGACTTTCGAAGAACAGACTGCAGCATCCAGACTATCTGTTAGTTCCTGAAGGAAGATAAAAATTTACAACGAGACAACTGCCCGGGCCTAGTGGATGAGTTAATCAAGCTTACCCCTCCTTTCCTCCAAGTGCTATCTCTAGTTCTAGGTCTCCCTTTAACAATCTATTCAGAACTAAAGGCTTTTACATACCAGGTACATCCAGCTGTGGTGCAGGTTGCCTAGTTACCTAGCTACACTTCTCCTGTCCTGCCAGAAAATGGGCAGCCGAGTTAAGCTGAGAGAAATATGGCTCCAAAGGAATAAAAGGCAGTTTTATTTTCACGCATGACTTATAGACTCCTAACTCTTTACCTAACCAGTTCTAAGCATATAGTTTGAGCACATATATCACCTTTTTCAGATCTATTAACCAGATTTAGCCTGTAGTTGATTTATTCCCCATCAGCCACTTCCCTTTTGAGTTGCTATGATGGCTGACAATTACTGATCTTTCGTGTGGATCTTATCACCCCTCCTTTTGACCCTGAGGGAATTCAAGCCTGGTGACCTTGCCTTAGCCAGAGCATTGCTATTGTGTGGGGATATAACTGTAAACCTCAGAGACTTGAGGAGGATTAGATTGAAGAACCAGAAGAACGAGATGGAAGATGAGGAAGAGCTAGATGGGGAAGAACTAGATGGAGAATTAAGATAGAATTTAGAGAGAACAGCAGAAAAGTATAGAGAGAAATCAGGCAAGAAAGGAGCAAAGGATGAGAGCAGAAAAGAAGCAGTGTAGACAGAACTGACTCAGAAGAACAAAGCGAATGGACTAAAGAGTTTCATGTACGTAGATTCATTTGATATCGTTAAGGTTAGATTCCTCAGCTGGTTGTTAGATTCTTCCACGGACCCTGGGAAAAGGTCATCGAGGGGCTGGACCCCAACAGTCTTTGCTACCCATGTTTGTGATGGGTGTGAACCATGGGAAGTATGACAGCTCGCTCAAGATCGTCGGCCGTGCTTCCTGCACCACCGACTGCTTAGCCCCCCCCACCCCCACCCCCAAAGTCACCCACGGCAACTTTGGCACTGTGGAAGGACTCATGATCCCAAACAGTCCATGCCATCACCGTCACTTAGAAGACTGTGGATGGCCCCCTGGGAAGATGTGTCCTGACGGCCATGGGGCTGCCCAGAGCATCATCCCTGCATCCATTGCTGCTGCCAAGGCTGTGGGCAAGGTCATCCTAGAGCTGAACGGGGAGCTCACCGGCATGGCATCTGTGTTCCTACCCACAATGCGTCTGTCATGGAGCTGACATGCCACCGAGCATCTCCCCTCACAGTTTCCATCCCAGACCCCCAGAATAAGGGGAGGGGCTTAGAGAGCCCTTGGATACTATCAATAAAGTTCCCTGCACCCCAAAAACAAACAAGCAAAAACCCAGAAATCCTTGAAAAAAAAATCAAGCCTTGATAAAAATGTCCTTTCAAATCCATCTTCTCAGTAGTCTGGTTGTACTGTCTCTTTGTCCCCTAGTTCCCTGTTTCTCAGTCTCTGAGACCATCTATGTAGCTCCTCTGCTGGCCTCAGTGATCCCTTGATCCTCCTGTTTCAGCCTTCCAAGCGTGGAGATTACAGGTGTGTCCCACCACGCCTGCTCAGTAACTTCTACTATCTTTCCATGTCTGCTTCCCTTGGAGGGCACCCATGGATCCCACAATCATGTGCTGAGCATCAACTGTGTCCTAAGCTGCCAGGGTGGCTACTCTGTGCAGGTGTGGAGACCAAGGCCCATCTAGAAAGTCACTTGCCCAGAATGACACCAAAGCCCTTACTCTTTCCTCGTACCTGCTCTGCCTTGCAGGGCACAGCAGCGGCCACTCTCAGAGAAATGCAGCCAGCGACTCCCCTGGGCCTGGGCAGCTTATTGTACATCAAGGGAAACCTCATCTTTTCTTATTGCTGTCACACATGATGTGGTTTTCATCGCTGTCCTCTCTCCCTCTGTCTCCCAGGGCTTGTGGGCAGGAAGTAGGACTGGAAGAGAGGACACTCCAAGTGTATTTGGGGACTCAATTTCTTTAAGACTTGTTTTTATTTTTTTATTTTATTATTATTATTATTTTTTTTTTTGGTTTTTCGAGACAGGGTTTCTCTGTGTAGCTTTGCGCCTTTCCTGGGACTCACTTGGTAGCCCAGGCTGGCCTCGAACTCACAGAGATCCGCCTGGCTCTGCCTCCCGAGTGCTGGGATTAAAGGCGTGCGCCACCACCGCCCGGCTTGTTTTTATTTTTAATTATGTGTGTCTGTGCAAGCGAGGGCCGGTACTCATGATCAGAGTATCAGATTCTCTGGAGCTGGAGTTATGGGCAGTTGTGAGCCATCTGACGTGAACTGGGAAGTGAACTCAGGTCCTCTGTAAGAGTGGTAAGTTCTCTGAACCATGGAGCCAATTCTCCAGCCCCCAGGGAAGCAACCTCTCCTCCCCTCCCCCTCTCCTCTCCCCTCCTCACTTCTCCCCTCCCCTCCCTTCTCCTCCCATCTCCCCTCCGCTCTCCTCTCCCCCTTCCCTCTCTTCTCCCTTTCCCTCTCCTCTCCTCCCCTCCCCTCTCCTCTCCTTCCCTTTCCCTTCTTCTCCTCTTTCCTCTCCTCTTACTTTTCCTTACCCTCCCCCCCTTTTTGAGATAGTGTCTTTATAGCCCCACCCAACCCAGAACTTACTCTGTCACCCACGCCGGCCTCCAATTTATAACAGAGTTTGGCTCCAGTTCCCCTAGGGCTGGGGTTATAGGTGTGAGCCACCATGCCTGGCTTGGGGAGGCAATTTTGAGGAGGTAGGTAGATGTTGAGACCTTACATTTTTCTGTAAAGGGAGAGTCTGGCATTAGGTAGCTAAGAGGAAGATGTCTGGGTCCAGTTTGTCCCACCTGGAGAGCGGTGGGGATCTGTGTGGGCACATGGGAAGTTGACTGACACCCCCGGCTGTGAAGTGCTTGAGGTTGGGGTGGGGTTAACTTATTCTTACACACACTGTCCTCCTGTCCCCGTGCCCTCTCTCACCCTTACTCTCGGAGTTTTAGGGGGAGCTAGAATGTGTGAAACTGGCATTTAACTGTAGCCTGTCCACCTTTGAGAGAAGATGGCTGAAGGCAGAGAGGGTGGGCATGGCTGGCACCACCAGGCTCTTACCTTCCTGCTTCTACCACTTCTCCTCAGCCCTCTCGGACAGTGGGTGGGGGCTCTCACCATGGGCCGATGAGGCTCAGCTGCCTGCCAGGTTTCAAGCCCCAAGGAGATGTGGGTAGGAACCAGGCAGCTGTTTCTCTTGGTTACCCATCCTGCCTTGTGAGTCCTTGGTTCCCAGGACCAGGCCAGGATGAAATGGATCACTTGCTGGCATGCTCACAGAAGGTCACCGGTCAGCTAGGGCAGTGACTACTAGGCAAATGCTTTACCCGCGAACTTCCATGTAATGACCCAAACATTTACTCATCCCCAAGTTTACTTCAAGGGCTTTTCACTGGACTCCCAGAATGTCAACTGGAGCCTCAGAATGCTGATCTATTTGGAAATGTCTTTGAAAATGTCATTGGTTACGTCAGACTGAGGCCACACTAGATTAGGTGGGCTTTTGTCCAGTGACAAGGGACCTCTGGAAAAGAGGACAGATGAACAGGGAGTATGGCTATGTGACATGTGACAGTGAAGACAGACATCAGAGGGGTAAACCCAAGAGCTTTAAGGACTGCTGGGTACCCCAGAGGCAAGGAGAAGGGCAAGGAATAGTTCCCGCCAGAACCCTTGGAGCATAGTCCTGCAACACCCTGATTTTAGACTTCATGTTCCCTTAACTGTGAGACAATAGATGTCGGCGGCTTGAAGTGGCCAGATTTGTTATCTGGGAAGCTCATACAGAGGTCTTTCGGCCTGCCCTTACTGAAGCTTCTCCATGCACAGCACACAGCATACATCAAAGTCGCAGACCCAGAGGCCTCTCCTCAAAAGTCCCCCTTTTCGTGTCTAGGCTCCCCTTCGAGAGAGGCCCCGGGAATGCAAGGTCCTCTTCCTGTCCTTTTCACCAGTCCTTGCTCTAGGCATGATGTCTGGGGCATGGGGTCAGGCAGTTACTGGCTGCTGGGTTGCCAGGCTAATCTCTGTCTAAGCTCTGCTTCCTCTGTTCACAGTGTGGGCCAGAGAACTTGCTAGGACTCCCTGACTCTGTTCCCTCTGTCCCCTTGGCCTTGTGGTCCAGCCAGTCATTCTCCCAGTGTGGGGAAAGAGCAGGCCTCCCCCACACCTAGATGCAGGTCAACTTCCACTGCCTCCTGCTCTAAACTTCTGGCTGATTCAACCACTCCTCACTCCCTCTTTTTTTTTCAAATTGTTTTCACATCGTTTTTCTCTAGAACAGTCACTGCACCAGGACTCAAGGCCAAGGTAGTCAGTTGAGATGCCTGATACTTGGTCATGCATTATAGCTGGAGGCTCACCCAGGAAAGAGTCTTGGGGGACTCCACCTGTTTCTCAAACCCAGTGAAAAGTAGTAATTATCCCATTCTGCTCTTGCTTGGGCCTCCACCATTAGGCTGTCAACGTCAGAAGATTTAATCGACCCCCTAAATGTCCAAGAAAACATTTTATAGCCTGTAATAAGCCAACTCATGTCAACTTCCTGCTATAACCTGTGGAACAAAGCACACCAGGATGGAGTCTAGCTTGAAAAAAAAAATGAGCCTCAAGACAGAGGGGCGGTGGGTACAGAAACTCTCATCTCTATATGACGTGTGACTTGTAACAGAGACAACTGTAAACAACCCAAGCGTCCGACTCGGTTAAACAAGTTGTACTGATACAGGATGCAAATGGTGGCATTCAGTGACATATTACCTGGTCTTCCAAAATATGCAAGTGAGCTAGGTGTGGCAGCACACACCCAGCACTCAGGAAGCTGGAGCAGGAGGATAGTGTGTTACAGGCCACCGGAGCTACGTGGCAAGGGTGCCTCAAGGGAAAAAAAGTGAATGAAATGTTTGTAATAACCGAAACATTTAGGTTTAAGGTTAGTTCTTAAAGTATGGATACAAATTATGTCAAGAATATGATAAATTTAGCCAGGTGTAGTGGCACACGCCGTTAGTCCCAGCACTTGGGAGGCAGAGGCAGATGGATCTCTGTGAGCTTGAGGACAGCTTGGGCTACAGAGTGAGTTCCAGGACAGCCAGAGCTGCATAGTGAGACCCTGTCTTAAACAAACAAATAAACAAATAAAGAAGTCTATGATAAATTAAAAATCTATGGGATGGGTATGTGGCACATGCCCTTAATCCCAGTGTTTGAGAGGCGGCAGCAGGTAAACCCATCCCAGTGAGTTCAAGGTCAGCCTGGTCTGTCTATTAAGTTCCAAACCAGCCAGGGCTACATGGTGAGATGTTGTCTCAGACAAAACAATAACAACAACAACAACAACAACAAAACATCTCTACGCTCTCCTGGGGGAAAGCAAACTCCCTGATCCTCTGGCTCTTACAGTCTTTCCTCCCCTTCTTCCACGATGGTTCAGAGAGTGTTCTTCAGTGGTAAAACATCAATGATGTTCATCTTTTTTTTTTTCCCAAGACAGGGTTTCTCTGTGTAGCCCTGGCTGTCCTGGAACTCACTCTGTAGACCAGGCTGGCCTCAAACTCACAGAGATCCACCTGTCTCTGTCTCCAGAGTGCTGGGATTAAAGGCGTGCACTACCACCGCACAGCTAATGATGTTCATCTTCTCTTAAATATTTTTCTATGACTCCATAATGAGCATGTATTATCTTTATCATAATGGGAAAATGCTAAGCTTAAATTAATTAATTTTAAGTCGAGACGGTCTCTCTAAGTAGCCCAGGCTAGCTTTGGATTCATAATCCTCCTACTTCTACCTCCCAAATACTAAGATTATAAGTATCACCACCTGGATTAGAAACATTATTGAAGAGATTGAAGGATTAATTGTGGTGCTGGCAATTAAACCCAGATCCTTGAATATACTAGATAAACACTCTATCCACTAGGATACATACTCCAATTTTATGTGTATGGACAACTTTGGGTTTGGCCTGCATTATCAATCTCATGGGTCCTTCATGTTTTGTTTCTTCATGTTGCTCATGGTAGAGATTTAGACTTGGGAAAGCGGTTCTAACTGGTCTATTAAAAGGGCACAAACCAGCTTAATAATAACATGAAGGCTAAGCAGAAAGCGAATAGAATACCTACCTGATTTCAGCCACCTTCAAGCTGAGTGAATGGACACACCTCCT